TTTTGTTAAGTAGTGGGTAAAAAAACCATGTCTTAAAACTTTTTCATTATATTGACTGTAGTTAAAAAAATTAAAAAGTCTTACTGGCTATAAGTAAGAGCTTCTTATTGTGGCCAATTTCACAAATCAAAAACTCTTTGTTTTTATTTAAAAATTTTAATTCCATTTGCAATATCAGAAAAAAATTTTAAGTTAGGGAAAATTGAAATAATAACTAATGGAGAAGGCTGTTTTTGTTTTTTGTTTTTTATATTGTTCAAAGATTGTAAAATAAGGTGATCACTTTTTTTCTTTTTTTTTTACCCTTCCACCATCATTCACACAATTTTAAAAAGAAGTGACTTTCTTACAGTCACGTTTGACTGCGAAAATACCATCAAAGTTTTTCTTTACCCTGAAAAAGATATATAAATCATAAATATTGCTGAGTAGGCATACTCTCTCTCTATCATTCTGAAGATACGAATCAATAAAAGATGCTCTACGATCTTTAAAATTTGCATGAAGTTTATTTTTTTCTAACTTAAAAAATTTACAAAAATACACTCATGATTATTTACGAGGCCAGGTAAATAAAATGAAACAAAACATTTAATGATTTTTTTCCTTTACTTCGGAGAAATCTCTACATTATTTTGTATTTTAATTGACGAAATCTTGTGAAGAACGAAAAAAGAAGAAAAAAGTAAATAAGCAAAATGAGGGAAAAATAAAGCAGACGACTTCTTTTTAAAATGGCATGGCTTTTTAACATTTTTTTTCTGCTAGTATTTTTTTACGAACACGATACACTTTGGATTGGATCTATTTTGTTGATTTTGTAAAGGATGATAAATTTGGGATTATTTTTACTGAAAAAAATTTTAAAACTTAATTCATAAAAATTATAAAATTGTAAACTTGTGAATGAAATAAATCAGAAAATGATAATTTGCCTTTTTTGCTAAAACTTTAGCTGATTTTTTATTTTATTGTGGCAGTAAAGATAAAAAAATTGAAGATTTCAATTTTATGCCTAGTGATTAATATTTTTTTATTTACTTTTCTTGTTTTATTCATTTCTTTGAATTGAATTAGATGAGAAAGAAAGATTATTCATTTTTGTAACTTTGTTTCATTTTCAATAATCTGAAGAAAAAATTTTAAAGCAGTTTTTGTATCAGTTATCATTATCAATAATAATGGAAGGTTAAATTTGTTACATTTTTGTGACAAATTTTTATTTTTATTATATTTCATATATTTAAAAGTAAAACATACCTTATTAAAAAAAAAAAAAAGACCGGATTAAAACTTGGGAAACTATTGAAAAACATTTTTTTCCTTTCTAATTTTTGGGAGATTATGTATATTTTTTCCATAATTCGAAGAAGTAATTTTAAAATAATAAATGGGCGAAAAAGTAAAGAAACCATTGAATAACATTTAAAATCCTAAGAGAATTATTGGCATAGAAACAAACTGATTAAAAAGAATGTTTTTTTTTTTTTTTATTAACCCACTTACTTTTTTTTTCTTAAGCTACTTTTCACTACTTGGCTAATTAATTTATTTTCCTTCATTCTTTGAGATTTTAAACTGTTTTCTCATTATTTACCATTCTCATTAATTTTCTTCACAAACTTTAAATCTCAAAGGTTAGCGAGCCAATTAAGGACGACAGTTTGTAGTTTGAGCTTTCCTTTCATGGTTCTGCGCTCAACCCTCGGGCCTGATTCCTTGAAAAGCAGATGGGCTTTCCTGCCAAATTTCTAAAAGGTTGTAAACAGAAAACCCCTACTATTTACTTGTACTATTTTCCAATTTTTGTTTTGATTTTTTACTCTTGCTTAGTAATTTTCTAACTAGTCAATTTGTGAACAATTTTGAGTCCCAATAAGTTTTTTTATGATCGCTACTTAGGAATTCGAATTCCATAGGAATATGCTCATTTTGTTTTTCATTTTGTGTGTTTGTTTTTAAAAACCATTTATTTCTCTGAAAGTCCCTAAACTGACTGTGTGTAACTAATAGCTTTTTTTTAATCATAAAATAACCATTGAAGTTAACTTAAAGAAAAAAAAATTTTTTCAAAAAGAAAAGAAATTAAGAATAGTGTTGTTGTCGGTATCGAACACAATATCGTCTGGTTGACTTGAAAAATAGAATTTAGCAAAACAACAGTTGTTTTTTAATTGTCTAATAAAAAATTAAAGTTTGTTTTCCCTTCGTTCTGATTGAAAAATAATACGTTGCTTGTATAAAAAAAAATGATCAGCATAAAATAATTAAAAAAATGTGACCTTTTTATTGATCAATTGTAAATTTTTACATTAATTGTATTGATAGTAAATATCATTATCAACAAGACAACTGTGACTTTTTTAGTCAAATTTGTGACTGCTTTTGATTGAACCTGCGACCTCTTTTTTGCAATTACGTTCGTTCGTAGGTTTTTCGCTTTTTTTTACCGAGAGTGAATTATTTTTATTTAGCAATTATTTTAAGTGCTTAAAACAAATTAAAAAAAACCTGAGAACATTTTTATATTCAAGGTAGAAAAAAAAGGTAATTATTTAATTTATTTACACAATACATTTTTAGCGTTCTTTTCATCTTGCACATCATAAAGAAAACACTTCTTTTATTGATAATCAAATGGTAGCAATAAAATCCACATATTGCTTAAATTTACTTTCTCAAATAAATTTAATGAAAGATTATGTATTATTGCTTGAATGTTAAATGTCTGTTTTTTCTGAGTGTTCTTTCTTTGACTTTTTTAATTTAAACTTTGCTGCTTTTGGTCAAAAATATTTTTATCAACAAAAATGTGAAATAAAATTTTAAAATAATTTAAAAGTACTTTAAAATAAGTAATCCAGTATGAATAAATAACAATAACATTATCTTGAAAATAAATGCATAAAAATAAGTATATTTCTATATTCTATCTTCCAAACAATAACACACATTTCAATAATTTCATTCGTTAACAACATTTTTCTTTTGTTCCTAAACAAAGAGTATTTTCCCCCGAAAGAATATTATTGATCAGATATACTGGATTATGACCAAAAAAGATAGTTTTAATTTTTTTTTTAATTCTTAAAACAAAACGAAAATAGAATTGATTTTTAATTTAATTAATTAAAAAAATTTTTTTTATCCTGAATGGAGTGTCCTTGCCGTTGAAAGAAAAGTTTATTTTTAGTTTAAAGTCATTTATTAAAATTTTCATCATTTTTAAATTTTAATATTATTTTGAATTGTAAGTATTTAAATAATGTTTAATTTTTTTATGTCTTTGATACTTGCTTTATCATTTATTTCAAGCTACGTAATTTAATTTTTTGTACAAAATGTTCTTTGTTAATATTATTTGTGATACAAGGGAGATAACAATAGTTAGCATTTCCGAAGTCCAGCGATCACATTCCGAAATTTACCGAATCTTTACCGTTAATTTAACATCCCCCAAAAAGGCGGGCTATTTTAACTGATCATTTTCTTCGTTTCATAAATTATTATTTTTATTTAAAATACAGAAGAATAATTCATTGATTTTCCATTTGATTGATTGGTTATTTTTCCTTGTTTCTTTACAATTTTGTATCATTTTTTTTATTTAAGACATTTTTTTTTATTTATCTTGCTTTGCAGTAGTGGCCTATTACTCTGCTGACTGTTTCTTTTCCTTTTCAAAATGCCTGAACAGAATAAAATGATATAGTGATTTTATTCTAGAAGCTATTTTATTGGGTGCATCAACAAAACTTTTGCTTTAAAAAATTTTGATTATTATTAAATTTCATAGTTTTTTAATTGAAGCGCTAAATAAATTGTTTTTGTATTTTATTTACTTAACCTGTTTTCGTATTCTTTTATTTTTAATTTTGAAGAAAATATTTTTAAACCCAATCATGAGCACGAACCAGAAACACTGAAATTAAACTTGTCTCTTATTCTATGTTCTACATTTTAATTAATTTAATTAAAAATATATATTTTGAAATTTCAATAAAGAATATTGTATTGACAAATACATACCAGTAGGATTAAACTTGTTAATTTAACATGCTGACAACTAAATTGTTGCAATTTTTTTAGGTAAATGGGACAAAATTTTTTAATCAGTTCTTAAGAAAAATAGCTCATTTTTAGAATATACTCTTGTATAAGTTCCTTATTTATACACAATTTTCAGTGAAGATAAAACATTTAATAAGATATTTTTAAAGTGTAGTAGTATCTTGAATACTACTTGTATTAACTTGTTATTCAATGTAAATAGAATTTATACAGTAATTCTGTCTGATAATAGAAAAGTATTCAAATTCAGATTTTCAACAAGTCAGTTATTTATTTTCTAAGAAATTTTACATTTTTTTCTTTTACTTTGTAAAATGTTACATGCCGGTCTTTTTAGACAAGCTTAATAAATCTTTTGCTACAAATCAATATCTTAATTGTTTCAAAGTATTTAAATTGAGTCTTTTAAAGATAAGAACTTTTACAGATTAAATAGTCTCTATTTTAAGTTATTTTTATTTATGAATACATCTTGTGCAGATGAGGTGATGAATGATAATAGATTTTACATACAAATGAACAAAGAAAATTTATGTAATTCTTTCAACTAAGGGAGACAACTACGAGATGATTTTACAGCATTTAAATTTCCCTCTGAAGTTTGAATTAACGAAAATGAGAAATAAAATATAACATTTAACATTACCCGTGGTTTAGTCAAGATATGAAAATTTATTTATTTCAGATTTTATATTTCTAAATATTTATTTTCAGCATAAAAATAATATTTAAAAACTTGTAATATAGTTAAAAATTATTGATTGTTGCAATTATTCCAACTAGTTAATTATGTCAGTTCACTTTTTATTTAATGTAAAACTAGTAAAGTATTAAAAAGAATATTATTGAAATAATTTTTTATTTGTAGTTCTAAATATACTTTAGACAGTCCTTTAGCTAAATGCTCTATTTTCCCCTTTTCTTTTTAGTTACATACAGCTCTTGGTCGGCTGCTGAAAAGAGCCCTTTTCCTTGACACACAGGATCCAGAAATTTTATTCAATTTGTTCCCAGGTAAAACTTATTGACCATTTTTGGAATAGGAACATTTCTATATTGATACTTTTATTAAATAAACAGAAAAAAGAAAAACGTTTTTTTAAAATTATTTATTTTATATTCTCAACCAGAAAATGATAATTCTTATCTTTGTGAAGCAACCTGTTGTTCTTTTTTAGCGGCAATGGCCAACACCTGTCCTTCTTTACCTTTTGAAAACAGCTGAACACTAGACAGGTGTTTCTTTGAGAAAATGTGTTGGATCTTCCTTAGGATCAATAAGAGTGCATGACATTTTAAACTTATTGTTATTATAACCTTTCGCTGTGATATTTGTGTATTACACTATGCAACAAAGATATTGTTGCTGGGTTAAAGCATGTGTTTAGATTAAATAGACTATGCTGATTCTGAATCCATATTCAGAATTATTCTAAAACATCCTGATTTTGTATTCATATTAACCTGATTGGGGAAGTCTTGTTTTATATTGATAGCATGTTTATGGCCAAGGTAAATATTAATAGTATATATATATACACAGACACACACAGACAAACCTGAAAAATGATAGTATTATTAATAATAAAAGAAAGAGAAACATAATCTAGTTCAACCCACCTTTCAACACTAATGTAATAACAAACATAGGGAAGATATTTTTCAATATATTAGATAAGCACTTCCCTCATACGTTTGGACTACATAAGCTATTTAGCCGAAATACGGTCAAATTAAGTTATAGCTGCACAAGCAGTATGGCAACAACATCATAAAAAGAATGAATAGCAGAAATTTAAAGCTACAAAATGACATGAAAGGCAAGAATATGACTTTATGTAATTGCAGGAGAAAAAATAACTGTCTTTTAAATAGATTATGCTGTACTGAACAGGTTGTATATTGTGCCAAAGTGGAAGGTGAAAATGGTAGCACAAAAAATACATTGAGTGTACTGAGGGCCAGTTCAAGAGGAGGTGGTACAATCATACCTCATCTTTTAGAATTCCAGAGCATAGGTACAGCACGAAGCTAGCAAGCTACTATTCAAAGTTTAGGGAGTCCAAGCATTAAATGGAGCATTTTAAAAAATTTAAAGACTAACATAATAGTCTAAAAATACTCTGCTAAGAAGAGAAACTGGCTATAGCAACATATAAAACTAGCAATGAATTGCTGCATGGGAGGTCAGAGATCATTTAATTAAATTAATTGTCATGGTCTCTGACCTCCCATTCAGACATTTTAAGAAGTTTGGGGTTATTTGAACCCAGTTAAAGTTAGAAATTTGTTTTTCTCTCTCACCACTACTTCCAGTTTTGAAAGTGCTTAAGTTGTTGAGCTCCATGTAGTTGATTTGCTGAACAAATCAACTGAGGAGACCATAGAGGTTGAAACCGCGGTAGTGTGCTCTAGTCAACTTTCATCCTTTTTAAATATTAAACAGTTCTGCAAGTCTCGTCTTCTGATTTTGTATTGAGCACTTTTAATACGTTCAGTTTTCACAGATATTTTACTATTTGTGTTACTTTATATATATATATATATATATATATATATATATATATATATATACACAACACATACACACACTAGTGTTGCTCAGAAGATCTCTGAATAATAGTTTATTATTGACAAAATATTGATATTTTTCAGTCATCTAATAGAAAATAATTTTTTATTCAATCTTTAAAAAATAAACTTCATTGGATTTTTTGGTTTATTATAAAATAAGTAAATTTAGGAAAGTACCACAGTAGAAATGTGACGTTCAGAGGTAGGGTGGGTCTGAACATCCCCATATTTTTATTCAAAAAGACACTTTATTTTTCCAGTTAAATACTAACATAAATACTGTTAATGTTTTCAAACAAATCAAACTTAGATAAAAGTTTATTAACCTTTTTACAAATTATTATTAATAAAAAAAGTAAATAAACTTAAATTAAGATATATTTAAATATTTTAATTTAAGCATTTTTTCAAGCAAAATACTATAGCGAGCCTTACTTATTCGAAAAATAATTATTTGCTATTTATTTTGGAGTGGAATTTATATTTTTTAAATAAATAGTTTTATTTTTAAACATTAATTACTATTTTGAAAGAGAGTAGAAGCAAGATAAAACTGAGAATTTACTTTTGAAAAGCAATTATGTTTAAATTTCAAGTTAAATTTGTATTTGAAAAGAAAAGGAAAACTTCAGTTAAATAAAAAGCGACAGACATGAGTTACAGTCAACATTAGTCATGTTGAATATTTGTTTTAACTATATTTTATTTAAATTAATTTTTGAAAAAATAAGGCTTGCTATAGTTTTTTGCTTTAATAAAAATGAATTTAAAATTATTTACTTTTTTATGTTAGTTCCAAACCAAAAAAAACAATGAAGTTTATTTTTTAAAGATTGAATAAAAAAATTATTTTCCATAAGCTGGCTGAAAAATATTTACGAATCAATAATGTACACACATGTTAATTATTGTAGTTTTTTTAGTTTTAGCTGGCTGGACACACACACACACACACACACACACACACACACACACACACACAAATAATTGTATTTAATATTCTTCTTCTTTTAAATTTACTTTGTTATTTTAATATTCATTTTTTTAAAGTTACACTTTTATTTACTATAGATATGAAAATAAATTCAAGAGAATATAAATTTTAAAAATACATACATGTAGCATTTTGAACAGAATTAAAAAGTGAAAATGAACGGTGATCCTAATTGGAAATAAGAATTATTACCATTCATTTTTTCTTTTTAGATCTGAGAATTTTGAATTCATTCTAATTTTAAAATATCTCCATAAATACAAATCATATGATGAAAATTTTTTTTTACAGAAAGCTGGCTTGTGTGATGAGTCGGTATATATATATATATATATATATATATATATATATATATATTTACTTTGTCATGAATTAATTTAGTTTTTTTAGGTTTGGCTGGATGCACACAGTCACCTGCCTTTTATATATGTATAGATATATATTTAGGCTCAAGTAGTATATATACTATTAGTATATATATATATATATATATATATATATATATAGTTTATGAAAAACTAGGTAATCCGTATGGGTAAACCTAAGGAGGATAAAATCCAGAGAGCTCAATGTAAATCCAGAGCAAATAATTTAAATAAAAACAGACCACTTTTAAGGTTCCATGTAATAAATTATTTATTTTTATTTTATCCTCCTTAGGTTTACCCATACGGATTATCTAGTTTTTCATAAACTAAATATTAGCTCCTTATAAAATAAGTTGAGCTCTCTTTGGATTATAATTTATTACATGGAACCTTAAAGTGGTCTGTTTTTTATTTAAATTATATATATATATATATATATATAAATAAATAGTGTATTAGTAAATAGTACATATATGTTAAAAGAAAATTTAGATGACATTGTGATATTTTTTTTTGTTACACTGTTATTTTGACTTTTAGATTGCTTGTATTTGTTTATGTACTGATGATGTAATTAAATTCATTAAAATATTTAAAAATTGTTTTCTTTCCTTTGTTTCTTCCTGTCTTTACTAATAAATTGTGACATTTGGGCATGTAGGCTTGTATTGTTACTTTCTGCCTCCACTTGTCCATAAATAAAATTCTCTAAGTTATAGGCTTTATTGTTTTTTAATCTAGCATTTTTTTGTTTTGTAATCCAGGCTTTGATCATAATTATTTGTATATTTACTTTGTAGTACATCTTCAAATACATTTTTTAAAAAAGTATGTTAAAACTTCAACAACTTTCATTTTTGTCCTTTATTTGAAAAAGAAAGTTTTATGGCTGATAATCAGGAATTTTGAATAAATATTCTACTTTAAAATAAATTATAACCAATTTTATAATTTCTATATTCTCTTTTTTCTATTTTTTCTTTCAAAACTGCAGATGGTTCATTTTATCTGATAATCAAATATTACCAAGTGTATTAAAGGCAGAAATGTATTTACTATGTAATGGGTAGATATTAATGGCAGAAATTAAAATGCATAAAACGTACAATGATAACTACAATAAAAACTTGAGATACGTGTTGACATAAATAACAAGAATTTGTATTTTCCTTTTGTGATGTGAATTACAGAATATTGGTATGGTGTGTGTAAAATATTCTCAGTCTCTTTTGTTTAAAACTAGTGCTTACTTGGTTTGGTTCTGAGAATTTTGTTTGTGAGGATGGCATTTGAAATTGTCTGATTTCAATCTTCACAGAGCACTGGCTAGGTATGTGTTTTTGTACTGCTACTGCTACTTGTCAATGCTACAGGTACCCTACTCTACTCTACACTACTCTACTGATTCTTGTGGTGGAAAGATTATTTTTATAATGATGAGAGTAAGATGATGTAATATCCTTATTTTCTATAATCACTGATGACAAGGTTATTTTTAGAATGATGAAATATCATCATTCTGGAAAATAACAGAAGTTTCCCCATAAGGGATGTCTTAATCATAAAAATAATCACTTTTTTCCATGAAACGATTCTTGCCTGAAGTTGTAGCTCTGATTACCAACTTTTCTTTTATTGTTATTTCTTGTTGCAAATTATTTTGCATTTAATATTTACTAGCAGTAGAGCCCGGCGTTGCCCGGGAATGTAACAGTAAGAGATAGATCAAGTATCGACCATCATAAAGACTGAAAAATAAAATTGACAAAGATTATTGTTTAAGGTTGACGGACACGCATGTCTTAATTAGTTTTTTTTTGTTTTTTTTTTTGTTTTTTTTTTTTTTTACAAATTGGTCAAACCCAAACTCAAACAAAGACATTGTTTTCAATCGTTATGAGTCTACCGATTGAATAGAATTTTATTATAAACAATTGTCTTCTAAATGGAAATTTTAAAGCATTCTGAATGTAAAAATAAAGAAAAAAGTGTGCAAGACAATAAGAAACACTACCTGCCAAAAAAAAGTGAAGTTTTGTTGAAATCGGTTGAAAAATGTAGGAAATCCGATCCCATATATAAACGAACACAGACACACACACACACACACACACACACACAAACAACCTGGGTTTTTATAATAAGTATAACTCAATATGAGTTGTCCCTCTTTCATTCTCGCGACAGCGATGCCTCTTAATTGTGTTTTCAAATTGATTTCGTACAAAAACAATTGTGTTTTTCCAATTTTTGGCACTGTAAGAACCACCGTAAGGTAATTTTACGTAGTCCTGTGAAGTTTTGTTGAAATCAGTTGAAAAATGTAGGAAATCCGATCCAATATATAAATGTACACACACACACAATCTGTGTTTTATAATAAGTAAGATTTTGTTTTTCTTTGCTAAGTTTTTTTTTTTTTTTTTGGCATAGGACTGTCAGAGTCAAATTTACTTGCTTGCTTGCTTGTTGGTTAGCCTATGTTTTGGTTTTGGAACTGTTGCTGGTGCAACAGCATTACTGTTTTTTTTGGGGGGTAGGACAATTGTCTTAGATTCTGCGGAACTTTTAGAGCAGTTTATGGTATCATTGGTGTTTTCTATTCATTGATAGAATCTGAAGAACTGATACTTCTCTTAAGTTTTTTTTTTTTTTTTTTTTCCTAGGAAATGTTACCCTGTTCATTTTGTAGTATCACTGGTTTTAATCTGTGTGGAGATTGTGAGGTGTTTTTAGGAATTTTCTGTGGTTTAGTTTTTCGTGTCTGGTATAGTGTTCAGATTAAGGAGGATTGCTTAGCTGAATGTAATGGTCCTTCATAGAGAAGTGATATGTTCAGCTTAGTCATCCTTCAGAAAATTGCTTAATGTTTCTTTTGGCTTTTGTTGGTAATGGTAGAATTGTTATGTTCTGTTGGAAGTTATACTTGGGTTCTATTGACAGTGATAGGTACATTTCTCATTCAAATTTGTAGAGCATTTATCAAGTTCATTTTTTTTTTATGGCAGTTCTATGTATTGGTTGTTTTTTTTTTGACAAGTGGCAAAGCAAATATTCATAATTTTTCCTTTTAAAATGCACATGGTGAGAAAATATTCTCCCAACACATGTGGTGAAAATAAAATTTCTTCAATGCATGTGGGAAGGTAGAGAAGTTGGTTGACTCTGTTATATTTACATATTGTATGTAAGATTCCTCCATATTTGTTGCATTCAGTTCTTTTAGTTGGGTCATCATTGTCTCAGGGTAGGTAATGTTGGGTGTTGATGTAGTAGTAATCCCGAATTGATATATTATTTATTGAGTGTTAAAGTAATTACCCTGTTGTTGTATGTATTTGTAGTGTAGGAGGAATCCTTTTATATTAAAAACGAATTGAATTAAAACGTACAACAATATAACATAAACAATAAGACTTGAGACACGTGTTGACATAAATAACAAGAATCTGTATTTTCTTTTCGTGATATGAATTACAGAATATTCATATGGTGTGTGTAATAATGTTGTCAGTGTTTCTTTTGTTTAAAAGTCAGTGCTCACTTGGTTTGGTTCCGAGAATTTCATTTGTGAGGATGCTGTTTGGAAAATGTGTTTTCGATCTTCACAGAGCACTGGCTAGACGTGTTTCTGTACTGCTACTTGTCTGGCTAATGCTACAGGTACCCTAGTCTACACTACTCTACTGACTCGCTTGTGATGGAAGGGTTGTTTTCATAATGATAAGGGTAGGGTGCTGAAATATCCTTCTTTTCTATCCTCACTGATGACAAGGTTATTTTTAGAATGATGAAATATCATCATCATTCTAGGTCAAAACAACTACTATGAAATATATCTTCTGTGTGAAACAGTTCTTGAAAATTGTTGGCACTTAAAGCATACTTTACTAAAAAGAGAAAAATATAAACCAGAATTCTCAATAATCCTTTTATAAATATAACTTTTATTTAACATTTGACTATTGGTATTTATCTTTACAAGGAACAAATGAAAAATCAATTTTTTTATTTAAGTAAAAAAAAAAAAAAAATATTACAATTTCATCTTAGCTAAGCTAAATAAATACCTTAAAAGATTTATTAAGACAGTTCTTCAGATTCTTAGCACATCATTAACAGGTCTCTTATTCTCTACTGTATGAATGAGAATTATAATATATATTTTATCTTTGTAGCCAATTTCCACAATAACTTGAAAGAGTTGCTGGTGAAAATTATCCTTGATAATCAATCCACATGGAGAAAACAGGCCATTTCTAATCAAGGTAAAACAAATTCAATATTTAATTTTTTTTTTAATCTGATTCCAGATTTGTTTTCCAAATTATTAACTTTTATAAGTATGCAAGAAATATAACAAAATAATTTTCCATTTCCTTTATGGTGTTTTTTTTAATTTATTTATTTTGTTTTTAATATATGAATACATTTATATATTTGCTGTTAGGAAATCATTTTCACTTTCATTTCTGGAAATGATTGCAGAAAAGCACCGATTCTGCATTAGTCTATCTTACATGATTAAAAAAATGATGTTTATTTAAAAAAAAAAAAGTTAACTGTTTCAGTTATTTTTTTATTTTATCTTGTCAAAGCTGATCATTACAATTCATTTTGTGTAATTTTGTCTTTCTAATCATACACCATGCTAAAATAAATGATCTTTAGAACTTCATAATGCTTATGTAGTCTGTTGTCATCACTGTAGTTGCATATTTCTTTCACGTGATCAGTATTTTGTAAGAATTTTGAATATTGATTTTCAAAGCGGGTATTTTTTCTCAGTTTGGAGGATTGTTGCTCCATTTACCATCACTTGACCATGTGTTAACCTTAGTGATATATATATATATATATATATATATATATGCACACTAATGCATACCAGACTATTTTATTGAGTCATTTCTAAGCGGTTCTTTCATGAGGTGTTACTGCTATAAGTCCAATATGTAACAAGAATTCAATGCACTTGACTGATCTTTCCACCTAACACGAGACAACCCTATAATTTTAATGTTCTTTCCATCTGCATTTTTGTTTTTTTTATTTTATTTGCATTTAGTTTCAATGCCTCGTCTGGTTGATTTTGATTGGCGGGTGGATTTAAAGGCTGCTTCAGGAACTATTTCCCGATTATCTGTGCCTACCTGTCTGGTGCAATTTAAGGTAGTTTTTTTTTTTTTAATATATATTTTTTAATTGGTATGTATCTATTCGACTTATAATCTGTTTTTCATAGTTTGTACAAAGGCAAAGGAACAAATATCAAGAAAAGTTATATTGCATATGGTATTTTTTTTAAAATTTTTTTTTAGATGAAGAAACACTGAAAGGATTAAAACTAATCAAAGGCAGTGGCTGGCATTTAAAAATATAATTACTAATTTAGTCGATGACATTTTCTGTATCTCTGCATTTGTAGCAGTATAGCTTACTACTAATACAAATAAATTCTTGGGTCAATTATAAAATTTTACATACAGATGTCTTCAGCCAAAAATGACCTTGTATTTTTCTTAGGGATTTTTTTTAGAGTTTTGAAATTGGAATCCAAAGTCATTGAAGATTTAAATAAGTATATTATTTTTTTTATTCCCTTTGAAATTTGTGATTTTTATTCTTTATAAGAGTGTCGTATCAAAATACTACACTCTTATTTAGAGAGACTGAAAGTAAAAAGATATTACTTTACTCTTTGAAGAAAAAGATTTAAATGAACATTTGTTTTTATTTCTATATTAATTTCCTAATTAATTGATGTGTGACTGAAATAAAATTTTTCAACAATTATTAATGTTAAGAGTGTTCCCCTTAGAGGACTGGAAGGAAAAAAAGCTAGTCTTGTAAATTGTATTGACTGGGTGCTCCATAACTGTAGCTATGTGCCAGACTAGGCTAAGCTTAGTATTTATCTCCAAAGATTAATGATAATCTATGTCAATAAAAGCAGATTACATGATTAATTTCATTAATTGTATTTTAAGGAAAAATAATTATTTTAGACGTTTAGTATTTTTAGGAATTGAAATGGTTTAGAGAAAAAGTGTTATTCAAAACTTTTTGAAAATTTAGACATGTTCTGTTATTTTCTTTTTATAGGGAAACAAAATCAGTATAAAGAGACATTACTTTATATATAATCGCTTTTGTGATTGTCATCTGAAGATAAATCTGTTGATCATATACTATGTCAGGTTTCATTATGCAAGTCAATGTTTTCACAATAAAATTGGTATCAACTAATTAATGTTGGTAACATTTTTAGGAAAATTTTAGTGGTGTGAGTTTTTTATTATGCAAATCAAAAAATCACATTGTAAATGAATATAATATAGTTCTTGATATTTATTTTTTAATTTCAGATATAGAAAGATTGCCATGGGTCATAAGAAAGATATAATTTCAAAAGGAAGACATACTGTAAAGTTAGTGAATGAGGTAAATGTTAGAAATTGCAAAAATAGTTGAACTGTTATCGAATACTAAAAAATGTAATTGAAATCTCTGGCATGATGAAAACAAGAAAAAAATTAATTTAAGAAAAATTAAAAGGGCAGTAAACAAGAGATGTGGTTTGACCAATCAGAAAATATTTGAAGATGCTGGTATTATGTATGTAAGTAAAGAGAAAAGATTCAGAATATTAAGAACCTTGACTAAAAACACAAAAGCAATCAAACTACCACCTTTAAGCATCACAAAGAGAAACGTCTAAGTTGGGCAAAGAAATAAATGAAAGCCAGTTTATCAGTACTGATTTTCAGTGATAAATATAGCACTACATTAGATGGAGCTGATGACTAGATGAGAAGTTGGGATCTTCATAGAAATAGTTCCTAAACATGAATTAGAAGACAATAGTGAAGTACACAGTGTAATATTTTAGAATAGTATTCTAGGCAGTAAAATAGTACAATTATAGATTCTGTCAAAATTAATGATAAATGCAGAAAATTCTTGTAAATTCTCAGACATTTTTTTTTTTTTTTTTTTTTTTTAGTAGTACATGTCGCAACAAAGAAACTTTAAGAATATATTTGTGCATGGCAAGACTGAGAATTCAGGTTCTGCAAAGCTGGTTATTGCCTATCGCCCCCCCCCAAATGGTTTCAAAGACACCAAATTAATTAAATGGTCTTCATTCTCTCCAGATGATCCAATAGAAAACTTGTGGTTTATCATTAAAGCAGATGTATATGATATTTTAAAATCTATAGTCAAGCAAAGAAACTCTCTGGGAAGCATTAAAAACTGCTGCAAATGATGTGAAAGTCAAGAGTAGAAAAAGTTTAAAACAAAAAGATCAATTGGTGAAAGTCTGTTGAAGGTTATAGAAAGTGAAGGAACTGGTATTAAAAATGTAAAATAAAATAATTTATTCTTGCATATGGGATATTGTGGTTATCAAATATGTTTCTGTAGCCTATATCTTTTGAATTCATTTATAAATGAAAATTTATGTTGCATTTAGTTTATTTACATAAACCTCTGCAGTAAGTTATTATCAGCTGGTACCCTCTTGATATGTTGCTTGTATAAATAAATCCTGAATATTTTGTCAACTCCAGTATCATTTATCAGTTTTATTGTAAAAAGATTAACTTGCACAATGAAATTGAACATAGTGTAATCTCATATTTGTAACAATTAGTTGATGAGGTGTTATGCTGGATTTTTTATTCTTCTTGTCATTTTAGAGGATAAAGTAAGTCACTTGGTAGTGCTTATCTCCTTTCTAAGATGAAACATAAGAAAATCAGTGTCCTACCTGAGTTCTTTTTTTTTTTTTTTTATACTAATGTCCACTGAATAGAAGGCTCAAAGTAGAGGATTACTCAATGAAGTGAGTGGTTTGGACAAAAGAAATAGAAGTAGGAAGTAACAATTATGAGAATATGGAGAATAGATAAAGATTGACCCTGGACTTGAAGAGGTTAACATTGTAGTGTTTGGGGAATAATCCATGTGGATGTCTGTTCCTCAAAGTAGTAGTTCTTGTGAAGAAGCTGAGTGAAACTTCTTTCTTACAAATGGCATATGAAAAGAATGATGTTGATTCTCTATCAACCATGATAACATGTCAGTATTGTGACCTTTATCAAGACATTCAGTAATGAGACAATGCAGGGAAGGTGAATTCATGCCTTTCCAAAGGTTATTTATGCAAAATCAGTGCAAACAACCTCATCCAAAATTCAAACTGTGTTCACTGATTTTTTTTTTTGTGCTGATACTCATGTCACCGAATAAGTAAAAAAAAATATTCCAAGTCTTTGTGGTTCAACTGTACATTTATGTAAAGTTTGGTTGGTTGATCACATGACCCAGAGATCATTGGGAATGGCATGCTTGACTTGTCCTTCATGGCAAGTGTTCTTCTCTGTAAGTTATATAAGAGACAGAATAATCACTTATTGAGATTTAGCCATTATAGCATTCAAATGTCAAGATTTTTTTCAGGATATGCAATGGTGAGACTGAGTACATGGAAATATAGTGTCATATCTTTTTTTTTGTTGTTGTTCATTGTGGGTTGCAGTTATTAGTTCAAAATAAATACAAGTTACATCAGCTATATTTTGAACTCAATTCATCAGTCCATTTTCTGAGGCATCCATGTGGGCATCTCAAAATATAAGAAGAATTACTTGGCAGTGCCCATCTTCTCCTTAATTGTCATGTGAGAGATAAAAAAATACCTGACTTTATTGACCTCTGTATCAATCATCATGGCATGTTGGTGTCAAGACAAGGTATCTGATAGACAGTGCAGGAATAGTGATCTCATGCCTTTTCCAAGGGCATTAATATTAAATGAATACAGGATTAGCCAGAAGTTGAAATTGGTTTGCCAATTCTCTTTTTATATTAATAAGCATTATGTCACAATTTAACTTTAATTTTTGACATCCTTTTTCATCTCAATTTCAGTTGTTTTTCATTGTAACCATTCAAGCTGTCAGTCTGCAATCATCAGTAAACATTGCAGATTGGTGAGACTTGAACTCACATGTCTTTGCTTTGAAAAGCCTGGTTAACTTTACCAGCTGCTCTGTCTGTCATGCTACAAGATTTCTATAGCTGGCAAAACATTAATTTTTAATCATATAGATTTATCCTTTATTTTTTCCCAATTACTCAGCACCATATTTGTTACTGCTTTTATAGACACCAGTCGTACCAGTCATAGTAATATTATCTTAAATTTTTATTAGATACCACATTATAAACCACTGTTAATTTTTTAAGAGTATTTCTTTCATTTTAAAAATATTGCACAGTTTACAAATGGTTGTAGATTGACAGTTTGAATAGTCGTGATGGAAAGTAACAAAAAATTAAAATGCAAGAAATACTTATGAAAAATTAATATCTGATTAAGCATAATCTAATAAAAATTAAATTATGATGATATTACTTGTACCTTTGTAAATATTTTTTGAAAATTAAATTATTGATTCAAGGGCCTTATAACTACAGACTAATGAATTTTCTACCAAGAAAAATAGATTCTTATAAAAAAAAATCTTCTACCAGAGATCATTTATACATTAGCCTGTATAGATTTATATTTAATCTGTTGATTCATCTTATGGTAACATATATCAGCCATAATTTTTGAGAATTATACAGCTATTTCTCCATTTTATTTATGCATGTGCTTAACAAGACAAAAATTTGTTCATAAATATCTTGCCATCCCAATAAAAAAAAATCTACAGAATAACTTGAAACTCTGATTTGAAAGCCACATTTTACTTCTGTCAAAAGAAAGATAAATAGCAAAACATTCAGAGAAGTCAGTTAAGAGCGGCTTAATCTTTGTCTAGCTTATATTGCATTGGAATTTTGACATTTTAGTATATGTGGCTTAAAGAGAATTATTTTATAAACTTGCAATGTAACCCATGATAACACTGATAGGATTATGTTAAAACTTTAATGATTATTTATACAACACTACAACAGATACTAAAAGTGGTCTGTCCAAATATGATTCAGCCATTTAATATTAATAAACAAATAGCTTATCTAAGGAATTGGTGCCTTAGTCCCTTCAAAGTACTCTCTTTGGGATCTCATGCACTAGCATTCTTATCATCTGCTGTCTTGTCATATTCTTAAACTCATCCATGGTCTCCTCCCTTTCAACAACAATTTTAGTCAGAAGTTGCAAGATGTTAGATTTGGACTGTCAAGAAATTCATGGACCCAAGGGAGGTGATGTTTTGTCAAAAAAACCCACATGAGATGAATGAGCTGTCAGGATATACAAAATGACTGGATGCTTTCCAGACAGTTTGAGGCATTCTCAGATCTTTCTCTTAATATTCACATGGTCATTTACTAATTTCCTTTTCTCATAACCCACACATGTTTACAAATTTTAGGCATTGAATGTTTTCAAATGTAGATTGCTTTCAATGGTGGATTCCTGGCAAGTTTGAAGCATTGATCCCAAAGTTTTATGTTGGTTTCACTCATTGAATTATCCCTGAAAGCTTTCTTTATCATTCAAAAGTTTGTGCTATGTTGAAGTTTCAAGCCAAAGATAATGCACATTCACTGTGAATGTGATGGTCATGCAAAACACAAGCTCACTCAGACTGAGTAGCCTCAAAGGAGTGTTTATGCATCTGCATTAAGATCTCCACTGATTGGTTGCCAAGTTATATCTAGGCTGTAAAACCAGTTTTCAAGATATTTGAAATGGCTGATTACTTTCTGGGGAGACGTCATATACAGAAAATAAGCAAATACCAAAATATCCATAGGGTGTTTAATATGTAAACAGATATAGTAGTAAGTATCATAATTCAGAAAGCTACTTGACTATATTCTGCTAGTAAGCTTCAGGGTTGTGTGTATGGGAACAACATATAACCGGGTCACTTAAGCAGTTTTTCACTGACTAGACAGCTTCATTCCACATTGTTTCAATTCTCATCTGCGTTGGTGTAAATGGAACTGTGAAAAGGCCCAGCCTAAGTTCACAAGAGAGCAGAAGATGAAATATAGCAAGAAAAGAAAACTTGAATCCTGTTTTCAACCGATTCTTTTATTTGCTGGCCAAGTTAGTCACATGTAGCAGTCTCTCTGAGGGTATGTAGGTGGCATATAGGCCTCTTTGTTGCTCCTTCTTTTTACTTTTGCCAAGAAACTTGTTGGATAGCTTGCTCCTCTCTCCTTTTAATCTAACAGTGACTCTCCTTTTCTAGAATATGGCCTTTCTCTCTATAAGTCTATGACCAGAATTTCCTACCTTTCTGCTGAGTGTCACTGATCCTGAAAGTTTTTGTTAATTTATACATTTTATTTCTTTTTCTTTAATTATGGATAGTAGGTGGTTGATTCAAAACTCTCCCATATTGATTTTTCTGGCAACACATGTCTAGATAAAATCCTTTTATTGTCTGCCTAATTACATGATTATCCTAAGCAATTGATCTTGGATTCATTGTGTCACACCTAGAAGACAAGAAAAGGTACATTGTTTTCTTCAAAATCTATCATAGCCTATTCTTGGTGAATGTTTGTCTTGGTACAAGAAGGTGAAGAATATGAAAAATTGTCAATAATATTGTTTAAAAGTAAAATTTGTTGATTAAAGGCCTTTTTTTGTTGTTCTTTTTATTAAAGAGCTGATTTTTTAGGCCCTCAGTCTGTTATGCATTGAAAATGAGGATAAAAATATTCAGTGATCAACAGTTAAGGCAAGTGTTATTGAAAGAATAAGGCCATTGCATAACTTGCTGTTTATATAACCCATGATCTTCTAAACAAATACATACAAATCATTTTCATTTAACTGGTTTCATGCTCAAATATTGGATTTTATGGAGTGAATAGAAATTTTAATTTTGATGCTGTTCTAGTCATTTATCATTGACAAAGGGAAGGGTAAAGAGAGGTAAGACATACTTAAGAAATTGTACATGTGTATGCTAGACCACAAAAGTCTCCTGAGCCAATCAAGCATAGAAATGAATACAATATGGGAACCAGTAATAAGAAGTGCCAGAGAAAAGCAATAATAGCAACAAAAATTGCAATATGAGCACTGGTAAAAAAAATGGTTGCTGAAGACATTAGATTTATAATACCCAGAAATTCATACACAGATGTCCTCAAGGACTCATGGCACAGTGGATAAAGGCGTTAGAACCAGTGACAGGATCCAAAGAGTGTGAGTTAAGGCGGTGGAGAACTTGGAGAGGGGAATTAACAGGAGATAACTGATAACTGACATCCATTAGACATGGCACATGGAACTAAAACAGAAAACTAAAAGCGAAATAACAGGTTCAGTTTAATATTCCAACCACCTGAAGAAGGCCGGAGCATACAATGGCTGAAATGTTGTAATAAATATGGCGACAAAGATGAGGACAATAGTCTGAATAATGTAAATAGTGTGTAATGTACACTTGTATTATTTAGCTGACCTCAAACCCTTGATTATGACAAGATGTGAGAGAAATGTCCTCTAGTCAGAATGTTTTTTATGACATTTTCCATGATGTCACTAATTGACTTTGGCGAAATGGATGAAGAAATTCCCATAAATAATAGAGGTTGTTATTACCTATTATTATTATTATTATTCTCTCCTATACCCCCACATGTATAGCTACCTCCACCAAAAATGTGATACCTAAGGTTTAAAATGCATTTTAAAAATGAAAAATCTTTCTTGAAGCTTTTATTTTTATTTTAATTGCAAGCGAAGAGATTAAATTTAATATTTCCAATAAGCAAAATACTTTGCTGTATTTCAATTGAATTTACATTGATTGGAATTAATTTGTTGTTTTTTTTATTATCAGTAATATTGATAAAATTGTCCATATTGACAAATTTGTCAACAAAACAAAATTATCTTTATTAAAAAATCTTTTAAAAATAAAATATACTTTTCTGAAACATTATTTGAGAAAAATTGGCTGATTAAGAATTTGATTAATTAGAATTGAAACAAATATTACTTTTAGTTTGAAATATAGCAGAAAAGTGTTTTTTTAACACAGAGGTGGCTGTTTTTATGAGGTGTTGATAAATTTATCAAAAACCTGATATTTGAGAAATTTAAGGAGGCAATAATTGTTATAAAATTACATGACAAATACAACAAAACACCTTTTTTATAATATTTTAAGTACTCATCTTTAAAATTTACAATATTTTAAGCATTCTAATATTTTATTGAATTTTACGTACTTTGGCTTACAAAGACTCTTTACCAATAAATTTTAAATTTACTGTAGTTATCACTCTTATTTTCTGATAATGTTGTGTATAGATGGCCATATTTACAAAATTTGGCACATTTGTACACGCACAAAAAAAAAGAATTCTTTTTAAAATCTTTTCTATGAATTGTAAGCTTTTCCATTTATGATTAGTAAATATAGTTTTTATTTAATAACAATATCTCCTGACCAATACAAATTAATAAAGAATTTTAAAAAAATTTAATTATTAAAATTTAAAAAAAAATGAAAATAATTTTTGTAAAAATTCTAACTTACACACACACACACACACACACACACCCATACACAAGGGGTGCTTTTAGTTTATGCCATTTTCATTTTCAGACAGGTATAATATAATGACATTATGTTCGCTGTTAGATGTATTATGTAAATACATTGCAAATCATTTTACTAGAAAAATGCATTGCTAATTGACTTTCTCTAAAAATGCATTATTGACACAGGTTAGGAATTAAGGCAAGTATTATTTAGAGAATAGGGCTCTTAGATGTATGATGTATCATTGTTAATGATTTGACAATTGAAATCAGAAAGGGATTAATGTTAGATGTCTACAATAAATTAAGCATTACTAACAGAATAGGGTTTTATTATATGTGTAATTTCTGTAAATTTAATTAAATTTTAAACTCTAATAAGAGGTTGTGCCTTCTTACAACTGATTTTTGCTGTTTTCAGGTGCAAAACATTCCTAAAAAGGTTGGAGTTGTTCCAGAAGAGGATCTTATCAATATGGAACTTTCCAAAGAGACCTTGGACACAATGCTGAATGGGCTCTACAAAATCCAGGACCAATTATCCTCTATAGCAAAAAAAGAATAAGAAACTTAATGAATTGCTTGTAGAACATCAGTACTCTTATTTCAGTGAAGTTCATAATGTTATAAATTAAGAAATATAATTGAACTTTATAATGTTTTTTTTTTTTGTATGGGTTAAGTGATTTGCTACCTGTGTACTTTTTATTTATTAAGGAAATGAATTCTGATTCTTAATTTTTTTAATATTTTTATTTGTTTTAGTAAAGATACTGAAATTATTTTTCTCTCTTATCCCCTGTTTAAAAGGAAGAATCAAATTTAACACAGAATGGAAAGAATAGATTTTACAAGGAGTAGAATCTTTTTTTTTTTGTCTTTGAATTACTTTATACCTCTTTAACCTTGCCACTCTTGGCAATCTTTAAGATCTCTCTTTAGTTTTTTTTAATATATTCAATAGTATAGTCTTGTTGTTCATACTTGATACCTTAGTGTGATTGAAAGAGAACACAACATATAAAATCATATATTATGAGGTGCTGATGTGGATTCAAACAAGGAATACTTGTATGAATCTGACTATTTAATGCTCTTCCCCATTTTTCATGTGATTGGGAGTGAATAAACAATCCAAAATAAGGAAACTTGGTTCAAAATCTCCTTCTCTTTGCATTTTATATATGAATAAAGTGAGAGCTGTTATCACCCATATAATGACTAGTCATATTTTTGTAATACTATGACAGAAGATTATTAAGCAGCACATCAAGGTGATTTCACAACACTATTCATATTAGATTTGAAGCTGTGACAAATGTTTTACTACATTTTGTATTATTGGTGCTTTTCAAATTAGTCCTGTCAACTTATTAGGATAATCTGTTGGATAAAGTAACATTAATATTAGGGATTGTCTTCTTTTATATTAGTAATGTTGACTTGGGGGTTTGTTTGCATGAAAAACATAATTTTGTTGTTTGGGGCTAAGCAATGCTTATTTTCAGGATAACACTCTTAAAAATGAGCTCTTGTCAATGTTAGCAGTATTAATAATCAAAATCTTTTTTGTTAGATGAAGCACTGTCAATTGCTACTAATTTTTTACTATTATTTCTTTCATCTTAATTTTAGTTGCAATAAAAATAAACTAAAATTAAGATAAAAGAAATATTTGTCAAAAATGAATAATGATTGGCCATATTTTTTTAAATGTTCATTTCTTTCTCATGGGATTGCTATATATATATTTCTATATTTTAATTTATATAATTTTCAATGAAATGACACACGAATCCAGTGTACTTTGTGAACTTTGCTAAAATTACAGACACAATGTGTTCTGAGTGAACCCAGAATATTTTCTTTTGTCTGTCTCTGATTTGTGAATTTGGAACCTTGACAAAATCTTCAACCAATCATTTGCTATGATTTATATTGTAAAATTTGTAAATTAAAGAAATATACTTTACTGAGTGGTAATTTCTTTCACTCCCTTTTTTTTTTTTTTTTTTTTTTTTTTTTTTGATAGTAACTTGTTGACATATAAGTACAATGCTTTGATATCTAATCAATGAAAAGAATTACAGTTTCACATGTAAGTAGAATAAGGCTGTTCATATGAGCAACTTTGCTGCTCTTGGACAATTTCTTTTGAACTGGAACTTTATTCAAATTTTCAGTAATAAATAGAGACAAAATATTAATACCAGAAATGAGCAGCAAGAAGCTTTCAAATACCTTTGTGTTCATATTAATCATCTAAATAAAGATTTGAGTTGGTCACTATTTGAAGATTCCATGGATGCATACGTCTTGAAGGAAGTAGAGATAATAACAGAAGTCTGACTAAAAGAGTCAAGCTTTTGATGCTTGTCATAAATAAATGCATTGGTTTTCTTATTATGAACAGGCATTTTTTTCATCTGTTAAGTACATCAAATTGACGATTATATTCTTCATACTTGGATTCATTTTGCTTTTTTATTTTTTATTGTATTTTACTCACTCACCTTAATCCGTGACAATTTTAAGAAATGACATTGTCCTTCTATTTAAAAAGAAAATACAATGGATTCCATTTGTGCCACTACCTTTTTTCCAATTCAAATTCTCATATCATTTTTCAGTATGAAAGCAGAGGAGACATAAACCAGAAATTATAAAGTTTTCTTACTGTCAATCACCTTAATATCCTGGGTAAAGGAGTAAGTACGAGATAAATGTCTACTTATCTAAGATTTCATGATAAAGAAACTTTCAACAGGATGTGACTAATTTACACAAAGGAACAAAAGAAACATTATAAATCAAGGGCTTTATCAATAAGTATTTGGCACTTTTCTCCCTCTTCACATTGATGTTGGGTATTTTTTATCTTGTTGTAGCTGATGGCATGACAACACTCTGTGTGTATGTTTAACAGAGGGATTTTTTTAAGCATTTGTATGCCATCACATTTCTGTTCTTTCATGGGTAGTATATCAATACTGCTGTGTACATGAATAGAAGTTAGTAGTTCTAAATCAGGGATCCCCAAAGTGGTTGATATTGACCCCCCCCACCTCCAGGACTCAATAAATGCCTGAGGATCAAAAGAGGGGTGATAAATAAATTGTGGTGATTTATAACTAAAACTCATCAATTTTAAACCTTTGCTACTTCTCATCAAACACATCCCCACAAATTAATGGTGTCAACCAATTAAACAAAAGAGATTAATTCATTTTTAATGTGTTTATTATTACCTATATTAATTATGAATGTTTTACTCATTATTATTCAAGCAAACTCATTTATTATAGGAAGAGAAATTGAAAAGGAATAACAAAACACAAAGCCTGAAATGAATCTTATCGAGAAACAATCACAAAGGAAAAACGCAAAGGAATTTCTACCCCCCCCCCCCAAATATTATTATTGATTATTATTTATTGTACATGACTGGGGAAACCTGAAGGATCAAGGATTTAATGAAGGTATTGATGGTCTAAAATGTTTGATGACTCCTGTTCTAAATTTTGTTCTATTGAAACTAATTGAGCTTCTTCTGACCTATAAACTGATAAAAGAAATCTGATGCTAATTTCTATATTAGCAAGTAAAATAAAATTGTATTAAATGCAATTATTTTCTACTCTTTAAATTCTGTCCTGTTTACAAACCACAGAAACTCACATGAAAAAAGAAAAGATCAATGGTTTTCAAATAGGAGGCACTTGGCTCCCAGGGGAGAAAGATCAAATCTAAGGCTGGAATTTTAGCCATGAGAGTTACTAGAGAGGAATTTCAACCAGGGATTCTGAGAACCACTCTACTAGACTATTTTAATAAAATGCGATTAGTAGTTTATGGAACCATAGAAACCTGAAGACAGAACTCATGAGACATAAATATTAATGTTGCTGTGACTGATACAAACTATTACAGAAATCATATAAGAAGAGATTGATGATTATGATGATATAATTATTGATAAAATTGATGCTAACAGTGTTTTTGAGTTTGAGATCATTTTTGGATTATAATATTTATAAAGGTACACTAGCAGAGGTATGCATTTGGCTGAACAACATTCAAAGAAACAGAAGATAATGGCTGAAGTAGCATTTAAATTTCTGAAGATTGTGGTTGACAGAAAAGCAAGAAGCCAGAAGAGAGTTCCAAAAGTGATGAGTGCAAGAGAAGAAACTTAGGATTGCATCTAGCAATTTGACCTAAAACTGATTTAAACATTTTAATGGTGATGAATTGTCCCTTGAAATAAAGCCTAAAAGTGGATGTTCTAGTCTAGTTCAAGTTACTGACATACCATAATGGGGGATACAAAAAAAAAGTGCAGATTTTGACCTGCTACTGATACTGTATAAACAATTGCTACCTGTCCTATATTAATTGGAATGAAGATGGACTGCACAGGAATGACAGGTCCAGATTGGCATCCATATGATCTAGAATCTAGATTTTTTGATTGGTTGATCCCATGATGGGATCAACCAATCAAAAACCTAGTAATTCTTGTTTGTGTTATTTTGTCACTGCCAAGCAACTCCCATTGATAATGAGATGGTATGAAAGTTTTGCCTCAGCATTGCACTCTGATGATCCAACCAGTCAGTTATATAACCCTGTTTCACATTACTTAGGAAGAAGAGTTCTACCCAGGAAGTACTTTAGACTTCTGTACTACTAGAGGTTTCTATTCCTGAGATGATCTCTTGAAATTTACAAAAGTAAAATAAAGATATGGGTTACAAAAAACTATCATCTTTTTTATTTAGGATTTTAAATAATTAGTAATGTATCTTTTCTTTCTTCTATGTTGCATAATAAATTACAATAGGCAATCTCTTATTAGAGACATTTAGTATCAGACATATTTCACAACTGGGAATTTGTTTTGAGTTTTCTCAAATCCAGTTGCTGTATCTACATAGTTTAATAAATATGAGTAATGTCAAACATCAATATTTCTGTAATGAACCTTGTTAATAATTATTAATAAATTATAATAGACTTTATTTAAAGTGCCACCATATTTTGCTGTTTAAGATGCTCCAATGGATTAGATGCCCCACCCTGCAAATTTTGAAGGAAGAAATTGGATAAAAGGTTTTTTTCCTTGTACTTCATAGCTCTCCCCATTGTTCCCAATTTTACTCACTGAATAGCATATTCCAGCATGAAAACCTAATGACAAATTCATCACAGACTGAGAAGAATTACCAAATTTATTGTATTTATTTAGAATGTAATAAATACAAAAGAAGTTAGTGTATAATATCACTGAAGCATAACCCTATTGCAGCCTGAATTCATCACAAACCAGGATGGAACACTAATTTTAAATTAGATACATGTAGATTTTTGGATACAGAAATAAGTTTCATTTATGTGTAGGTTATGAAAGTAGTTTGAGAAATAAGGAAATTGTTAAAAAAAGCAGGTGTTACTGTAGCAAGAATTTCTTTTCTTGTCAATATCCCAGTATCCCAACAGCATAAATAGCTTCTCTCAAAATGTTAATTTAATTTTGAAACACTGAACTTGTTATAATTTCAAAGG